CTATAGTCTCTCATCCATCTAATATCTTATAGATTGTATACTAGATATGGTGCTATCAGGCCCATACGGTTTCTGCTCGAGTCTCGCTCTAATCAGATTATCTCGAAAAACTATTTATCTCTCAATCTGAATGACCATGACCAAGGATTTGCCTGAGCAAAAATACATGGGATATTTCTCTTATGACACCAAGAGTGGATGATCCTTTGTCGACACTTGATAGCCCTTATTAGGTTGGCTACCACTTCCGATGATTAGTTGTGCTAGATTTAGAACTTTTATGTTTATAAGTCTTGTATCAAAGAGTGGAGTATTCATACAAGACATGCTAGTGTGCTATGCAAGCTAATCATGTAAGTATATTATTGTGGCAAAGGTAGCGAAGGATGAAGTCTAGATAAAGAAGTTTATCACAAATCTGAGAGTTATGCTAGGTAGTAAGGAGCTAATTCCCTTATATTACGACAATAATGGGGTGATTGCTAAAGCAAAAGAACTCATGTCTCATCAGAAGTTTAAGCATATTTTAAGGAGGTTCCACCTGATCAGAGAGATCGTAGCCCGAGGAGATGTAGTAGTAAAAAGAGTTATATCTGAAGATAACATTATAGATTCACTGACGAAGTCATTGTCTCATATTGTCTTTGAGCGTCATAGGGGTCTGATGGAGATCAAACACGTATATGATTGGCTTTAGGTTAAGTGGGAGATTGCTAGTTATAGGTGTCCTGCAAGCCAATCACGTGAGTGATGGCACGTGTGACATGATACACATTCTTTTTTTTTATTATATTATTTGATATTTTATTACTTTATCTTGCATGCTACATATATTGTGATGTCTGTTGATCTATACAATAGGAATCAGATCATGATGAGATCATGATAATGAGACCGATTCGCCTTTAAACATAGACTCTAAATAATTTCGGTCATAGGTCACTTGAGAGAGATATCGAGTAGACCGAATAGACTGGTGTATTATATGTTTGTTCATATAATGGAGGCAGCTAATCTCATAGCTGCTCGTGTGGAGACACTAGAGATACGATACAGGTGCTCATTGGAGAATGAGTTTACTGATTGATCAACTTACAAAATGTTGGATAGTTAATGATGCCTCATTGTCTGACAGTGATTCTATCGTCCTAATGGTGTATCTGATCCTTAGACTTGAGATACTAAGGATATCCTATATGAGTACTTTACTCTTTGATACCAGACTTATAGACCTAGAAGTTTCAGATCTAATATAGTCGGTCATCGGGAGTGTAGCTAATCTTATGAAAGCTATTGATTGTCTTTAGAGGATCATCCACTTTCGATATCATGAGAAGAATATCTCACGTATTCTTGCTCAAACAAATTCCTAGCTAGGGTCATTCAGATTGAGAGAGAAAGAGTTCTTTGGAATAATCCGATTAAAGCGAGACTCGAGTAGAAACCGTATGTGCTTAACAACACCATGTCGATATATGATCTATAGGATATTAAATGAATAAAAGACTACAGATACACGATAATTGAGGATGGACAGGTCCAATGGATTGGATTTCATTCGATCATCTCGATGTCCCTCTCGAGTGATATATGATTAAGATTATTTAGGGTCTATGTTTAAAGGTGAATCGGTTTTATTATCGGGATCTCATCACAATCTGATTCTCATTGCACAAATCCATTGACATCACAATACATGTAATATGCAATATAAAGTAAGAAAAAAATACCAAATGAATAATAAGCAAAAAGAGTGTGTATCATGTCACACATGTCATTACTCACGTGATTGGCTTATAAGGCACCTATGACTAGCAAGAGTTCTCAAGGATAATCCAATTAGAGTGAGACAACACTATGGGCCTGACAACACAATGCCCGAAATACGGTCTGTTGGATATTAGATAGATGAGAAACTACAAATGCATAGTAATTGAGGACAAATATGTCCAAAAGATTGGATTCCCCTATATCATTTGTGGACTACAACGTAGTGACATAGTAAGTCCATAATCGATAAGCCGAGTGAATTATTATGGAGAAAATAATTCATTGAGCTAAAAGGAGCTCTGATAGGTATGACTCATGACTAGCTCGATATTGGGCCTAGAGGGTCACACATATATGATAGGTGTTGGGACGAGTAGAGGTTCAGATATGAGATATCCGCTAGAGTCACTATTTTATTGGATATCTAATAAGCTCCTAAATTATTAGATCTTATGGATGAGATCCAATAAGAGCCAATGAGAGATTATTGGGTAGAGATCCACTACTCTAAGAGGCTTGGATAGTTGGATGGAGATCTAGTACCCAATAGGATATGGTCCATTATGGTAAGTTCATAGGGACTTATGTAAATAAGAGGGAACCAAAGGGTCATAGGCAAGACCACTTTTTTGGCTGTAACCTCCTATACTCCTCTCTCCCTCTCCTCCTCAACTAGCAGCCCCTATTTGGAGCATATGGACAACAAGAAGGGCTAGCCCCTTCTTAATCCTGTGACACGCGTAGAAAGGAGGATTGTGTAGTGATTTAAGAAGCGTCTTTGCAGCCCCTACCATGTGGATCACCACTAGAGAAAAGGATAGTTAATCTCCTTCATCTTCTCCTATAGATCTGTAGAATTTTAAGGATATACAATCTTCCTATGTAACATATATCCCTTAACATGCGTGGTTTTTCGGTTTTATAGATTTTTGGCCCCAATCTTCGCACAACGATAAGAAATTATTTTCTATAAAAATCTAGGGTTTTTATCTTCTATTCTTCCGCTATACATGTGATGTCACCCTAAGTTTTCCAACACAGGGTTTGTGTGTCGGGAAAACATGACCCACTTTAGAAGAAACCTACCGTAGTGGGAGGCATAAGACAAAATATGCTAGAGGCGTGAGTCGGGTAAACCCAACATATATAAGAAGAAACCTATCATGATAGGAGACACAAGATAAAATATGCCCGAGGTGCATGTGTCAAAAAAACCAAACTCATATAAGAAGAAACTCATCACAACATTAGGCACAAAACAAAATGTGTCCAAGGCGCATGTGTCAGGAAAACCCAACCCATGTAAAAGAAACCCATCATAGTGGGAGGCACAAGATAAAATGTGCTCGAGATATATGAGTTAGGAAAACCTGACTCGTGTGAGGAGAAGTCTGTCATGATGGAGGCACAAGACAAAATGTGCCCAAGGTACATGAGTCGGAAAAACCTTACTCACATGAGGTAAAATCCATCATAGCGGAAGCACAAGGCAAAATGTACTTGAGGCATGTGAGTCGAGAAAACCTGACCTACATACGAAGAATCCATCACAATGGAAGCACATGGTAAAATATACTTGAGGTGCGTGAGTCAGGTAAACCTGACCCGTGTAAGAAGAAACCCACCATAGCAAGAGCACAAGATAAAATATGCTCGAGCGTGATTCGAAAAAATGCAACCTACATAAAAAAATTTACAGGAGGCACAAGACAAAATGTGCCTGAGGTACGTGTGTTAGGAAAACCAAACTCACTTAAGAAGAAACTTGCCACAGCATAAGTCGGAAAAACCCTATCCGTATAAGAAGAAACCCGTCGTAGTGAAAAGTTATGCTCGAGGTACGTTTGTCGTGAAAACCCGACTTATGTAAGAAGAAACCCGTCATAGTGAAAGGCAAAAGACAAAATGTGCCCGAGATATATGCATCGAGAAAACCTAATCCATATAAGAAGAAATCTATCATAGCAAAAGATATAAGACAAAATATGCCCAAGACGTATGTGTCAAAAAGACTCAACCCACGTAAGAAGAAAGCAAACACGATGGGAAACAAGACAAAATGTGCCCAATGTGTGTGTATGGTGAAAACCTAACTTGTGTAAGAAGAAATTTGCCACAGCAAAAAATATAAGACAAAATATGCCTGAGACACATAAATCGAAAAAATTCGATCCACATGATAGTAAATTCGCAAGGAGGTCAAGTGCTGACCTTTCCTTTACTCGAGGTGGGTAGGCCATTGCCTAACCCAACCCATTGGCCTCGAGGCTCATTAGTAAATTATTTAAGAAAGAAAAGGAAAAAGAAAAAGAAAGAAAAGAAAAGGTACACAAGCAAAGGTGGAAAGGGAGAAAAGGAGGAACCCACCTCTACACCACATGGTCATGGGCAAGGATCACCCAGGTGTGGTGATGACCGTGGGGTCATGCGCAAGGATTACAAAGGGGTGGTGCTAGCTTTATCACGTGTAGGCGATTGGTATGAGCACGTGGCAAGCGGTGATAACATGAAATGCACCTATTATAGTAGTGTGCATTGGAAGCACTTCGGACAACTCTACGTAGATAAGTCTAGACTACATCAAATTGACCAGGACGTGAACAACCTTTTGCCCTAACAAGTTCCTAAGTGAATTTGACTTAATAATAAAATAATTGATATATTAATTTGATAAATCTAAATTATTAATTTAATATATTTAATCTCTGATTAATAATGATATACTTATCTAATTTTATTTTAAAAAAATTCAAAAGGTAACGGGGAAAGTAGAATTTTGATCCATGATGATTTGATAAAATCTTTGTAAATCAACTTAATTTTCCTTCCCACCAACAAAGATTGGAAAATAATAAAACAGTCGCGGTGTCACGTAAACATTAGCAAGCCGAGCTTTAAGCCGAAGCCGTCGACTCCAACCGTCGAACGCAGGAAGCAGGCGCGTGGGCGGATCAATTCACCGTCCTCTTCATGATCATGTTCCTTCTACGACTTGTCGTCCTACAACGAAAGGCTGAAGAGGTTGAGGCTGCAATCGCCTCGTAACGATGCATTCGAACTTTTGGGATCGTCCGTGCCGCCGAGAGATTGTTCGATGAAATGCGGCTGAAAGTCTCTTCCGTGCACCAAACTTTTGGTACGAAAGAGATGCAGTACGGATGCCGCGTTTGAGGTATCGAAGCAGCTATCGTTTATCTGCTATCCTAGATGATCATCCAAGCATCGCTCCCCTATCCAGTCCATGTAATATTCTGTGCATCTCCATCGTCAATGGGTGCCTCGTATCTCCCACCAAAAACTTGTGCAGCCTGCCATGAACCTCTACCAAGCTAAACCCTTTCTCCTTCTTCACCCCTTTCTCCACCATCTCGTCCCTGATCCAGCCTACCTCATTCCACCTCCCACCTTTAGCGTACAAATTCGATACGCCTACAAAGAATCCTCCCTCCTCCTCCCCTGCTTCTGATTCTGATCTCAACAATTGTCTCTCCAGCCGCTTCCCCAGCCTCGACTCCCCATTGACGCCGCAAGCATGGAGCAGAGAACCCAGAACGACACGGTTAGGCTTGAAAGACATCGACTCCACAACCCGCTTCGCCTCTTCCACCCGCCCGGCGCGGCCAAGAAGGTCCACCATCGTTCCATAGTGTTCCATTCTCGGCTCAACTCCGTAGACTCCCTTCATCGCGTTGAAAAGCTTAATCCCCACCTCGACGAGGCCGCAATGGCTGCACGCATGCAGCGCGCTGGTGAAGGCCATGCTGTCCGGTGCAACCCCCTCCTCCGTCATTTTCTCGAACAATGCCATGGCCTCTTCACCGCATCCATGCGTGGCCAGTCCGCCGATTATGGCTGTCCATGCCGATACGTCCCTTGTAGTCTCCATTTCATCGAACACCTTCCGTCCGGCCTCCAAGCTGCCGCACTTGGTGTACATGTGCAGAACGCTTGTGCCCACTTCTGGAGTCATACGAGGAAGACGGCGCAAGACCAGAGCGTGCAGGCTCCGTCCATGTCCAAGAGCACCGAGTCCGGCGCAGCATGAGAGGCCCGCGACAATTGTGTCAGCGTTGAGGCGAGTCCCGTGTAGGATCATCCCCGCAAACAGGTGGAGGCCGTAGTCGTGCCACGCGGACTTTGCGCAGCAGGAGATGAGGGCATTGTACGTGATGGTGGTTTTCAGGGGCATTTCGTCGAACAGTTTCGCGGACGCGTTCAGCAATCCGACGGAGGCGTAAGTGTGGAGCAGGGAAGTCGCGACGTGGAGGTCACCGAGGAGGCCGCGTCGGAGGGCCACGGCATGGAGGGACAGCGCTGTGGCGCGCGAGGCGCCAGCCCGCCGGGAAGAGGCGCGGACAAGGGAGAGGAGGACAAAGCGGTCGGGGTAAAGGCAGGAGCGGAGCATGAGGGCGAAGTGGGAGAACGCGGGGGAGGGGTCCGGGGCGGCGGAGTGGGCACGGATGAGGGCCGCGAATGCGAAGGCGGAGGGGCGGGGGGCGGCTGTGCGGAAGGCGAGGAAGGCGAGGGGTAGGTCGGAGGGTGCTGCAGCTGCAACAGCGCGGGCCGAAACGAAGGGGTCCGGGAGGAGGCCGGCGACGACGGCGCGCGCGAGGACCCGCTTGAGGCGGCGGGAGTCGCCATGGCAGGCATCGATGACGGACACGAGGCGGGCTCTGGCGTCGACGAAACGGGCGGCGCCGCTCATGGGGTTCCGTCACCGGAGCCGCATTTGGTTATCGTCAGGTTGCGATCAGCTGAACGGGCGACGCAACTCCAATCATCATACTAT